TTTTTTTTTAGCTTTTACAGTCCGTTTAGGACCTTCGCTGCCTCAACCACTTCTTTCCACCTATCTCTGTCTTCGCTATCTTCAATCCTTATTAATTCTTCTGAGATTTCCGTGAGATCCGTTTTCACTCTGTCCTCCCATCTCTGTCTTGGTCGTCCCCTAGGTCTTTTACCGTTTAATTTTCCAGTGAAAATATTTTTTGCAATACCGTTCGATCTCCAAATATGACCCGCCCATTCTAACCTTTTGCTTTTTAGATACGAACTTATAATGGGTTTATTGAAAATTTGGTATATTTCTTGGTTAGTTCTTCTTCTATATTCCCCATTCTCAAATACTGGGCCATATATTCGACGTAGTACTTTTCTTTCAAATATATTTAACTTCTCCTCATCTCCTTTAGTTACTGACCAGGTTTCACAGCCATACGTCAAGACCGGTCGTAAAAAACTGGAATATAAATTTTCTTTTGACTTCCTGGACAAAAATTTCGACTTAAACAATTTCGCAAGTGCATAATATCCCTTGTTTCCTGATGCAATTCTCAATTTGATTTCGTTGTGCATATTGTTACGGTTGTTTATATTAGTTCCTAGATACTTGAAATCTGTTACTTGTTGGAATACATATCCATCCACTAGCATATCATCCAGAGCCCTCTCTTCTCTTGATACTACTAGGTACTTGGTCTTTTCTTGATTGACATTTAACCCTATAGGTTCAGCTGCTTTGATTAGGTCTGCAGTTCTCATTTCCACATCAATTCGAGAACCACCAATTATTACGATATCATCTGCGTATGCTAAAATAGTGTTCTGTTCCAGAATTTCCATACTTTGTCTAGCAGGGAGAGATCTAATTACTTTTTCTAAAGCCAAATTGAAAAGTATTGGAGAAAGCGCGTCTCCCTGTCTTAGGCCAGTCCTGACTTCAAAACTTTCTGACAGTGTATTTGCAAATTTTACTCTACATTTTGTTTCGGTATTGCACTCTTTTATCAGCTGGATTAGTTTGGTTGGTATACCAAATTCCTCCAGTGCTTCCCATAGTTTTCTTCTTATAATACTGTCGTACGCCTGTTTGAAGTCCACGAAGCAAAGATGCACTTCTCTGCCATACTCATAGTACCTTTCTAACAATTGTCCGATACTAAAAATGGGATATGTTGTAGATTTCCCTCTCATAAAGCCGCTTTGGTAGTCTCCAATTATGTCGTTAGTATAGACTTCAAGCCTTCGCAGGATTGCTATCGACAGAACTTTATAGCAGGTGTCTAAAAGTGAGATTCCTCTATAGTTTGATGTTTCCATCGGGTCTCCTTTTTTATATATCGGGCAAATGATCGCTGTTTTCCAGTCGTTCGGGACTTTATCACTTACCCATATTTCTTTGATCAATAGCCAAATCTTTGATATTAATTTCGGGTTAGCTGTTTTAATTAGTTCCGCATTAATATTGTCCTCCCCCGGTGCCTTATTATTTTTTAGAGATTTAATTATCTGTGTTATTTCTTCATATTCTGGTTTTGGTAATTCTGGCTGTACCGAGTAGTTAGTGGTATGTTCTTGATATTCCTCTGGGTGTACATCCTCGTTAGTAGTACTCAGTAATTCTTTGAAATGTTTCCGGAATTCTTCAGCTATATTTGACTCCTCTGTAATCAAACAGCCATGGGCATCTTTAAATATGTTGGTTTTGGCTTTAAAACCCTCCTTGATAGATCTGCATTTCCCGAAAAATAGCCGTGGATTCCTTCTGTGTTCTTCTATGCTTATTATTTTTTGTTTTTCATACTCTCTCTTTACGTTTCTTATTTTCTTACTTGCAATTTTTCTGAGATCCTGATATCTTTCCACATTCTCCGGCGTTGGGTCCTGGATCATTTCCTGTCTAGCTTTACTTCGCTTTTCTGTAACGTCTCTACATTCGTCATCGAACCATGGCTTCTCTCTGGTTTGTGTTTTTTTCTTAAACAAATAGGCCGCTTTATTAACAGCTTCCTTGATGATATTCCACTCTTTTTCACTATCAGGCTCCGTATCCAGTTTATTTGATTCCAAGATATTGTTAAGATTATTATGGTAGGCAGTTATTTCTTCCTGGTTTTTTATTTTGTCTATATCTAATCGAGCATTTTTCTTTATTCCTTTTTGGTTCATATTCCATTGTCTCGACAGTTTCACTTTTAATGAACTAATAACCAGGTAATGGTCAGTGTCGCCATCCGCTCCTCTATAACTTCTTACGGAATTTATACTAGATTTAAATCTTTTTTCAATCACTACATGATCTATCTGGCTTTTGTATTGGCCACCTGGGGCAATCCAAGTATGTTTATATATATCTTTTCGTTGGAACTGCGTACTGCTTATTACCAACCCTTTATCTGTGCAGAGACTAATTAATCTCATACCATTATCGTTGCTTTCTTGGTGCAAACTTTCTTTGCCCACAATTGGTTTGAAAATATTCTCCCGCCCTACTTGAGCATTAAAATCTCCTACTACTATTTTTATGCTTTCTCTAGGGGTATTGTCAAGTACTCTATCAAGGTCATCGTAAAAAAGATCCTTTAGTTCACAATCTGCTGTTTCCGTTGGGGCATAACAATTGACGATCACTATATCAAATGTTCTCCCAGTTAATACTATGTAGCATATTCGGTCATTGATCGGTTCAAATTTCTTTACTAATCTCGACATGGATGACTTGATTACAAAACCAACCCCATTCTCGTGTTTTCCATTGTTCTTTCCGCTAAAGAACACTGTCATATTTTGGGATTTGAGATTGCACGATCCTGGCCATCTTGTATAAATATTCAAATTTAATAATTAAAAAAAAATTATTAAAAATCAAAAATATCTCTTGGCTTTAAATATCGTAACTATTAGGTAAACTATTTGTTTATTAAAGGTATACATTCTTATGGAGAAACTTTTATTAAAATAATGTTAGCTATGAAAAGAAAAACTTTTATGAATTTCTACCTGAAAAATAAATTGCTAATTTTCGAGATGTATTTTGAAAAAATTTTAAATTTAAATGCATATATAAAATAATCATGCATAATATGTATCTATAATATTTTTATAATGCTATAAAAAGCTTATGAGGAACCTTGCCTTAAATTGTCTTGCTTTTTTAGTTTTTACCAAGTTAAAAAGTTTTTATCGACAATAATTTTAAAATATTTACAAAATTCTAAAAATTTCTCATGGCTATAAATAGCTCAAAAAGACCCAATATATTTAGAAAATGTACCACATAATATGGAAAATGTATTAATATAAATATTTGGTGAATATTTCAAATGTCTACGGTTAATAATTTTGAGTTATGTCCACAAATACAATAAAATCGATTTGCATACAAATTTATATTTTTCCATAATTTTTTATTTTTTATTCAAAAACTTCTGTGAATGACCTCCCAAGTGCAGCACAATTAGATTTACTTTTCTATGAGAAATGATGCAGGTGTTGAAAATTGTAGCATTTTAATTTTTAACTATTCCTATATGTTGATGACGCAGGCAAAAGAAAAACAACAATCACTATACAATATACATGCATTTGCTATGCTCAGAAAATAAAATACTGTAGAAAACTTTGGGGAAAATATATTTAGTTTATTAAAAAAAATATTAATAATCCCAAGTTTTCAATGATGTACGCACAGTGCACACAGAAATTTTCAATTTAAAATGGATCGTGGTGGAGAAGGCAATTCAGAAATCTGAACAGAAGTAATGTAATTTTGATACACGAAAAATCCACTAAAATATACCAAATATTTTTCCAAAAACAATGTTTATGTAGCTTTTAGCCTTGATGTTAACCGATTATGATTATTTATTATTATCATTAAACTACCACATTTTAAATATCTTTAATTTGTACATATTATTTATAAATGTTGTTTATCTAGTGTAAAATATTTTGCATGTACTAATTATTAGTTATTTGTTCTATTGTTCTAAGTGATTTTTTTATCCTTTTATAAATTAATACATTTTTTAACTAGGACCATAGAGCATGGTGCATCTAGCATGGCTAAAATTCATTACAATACTCCCATACGCAATTTCAGTGTACTCCTGGCTAGTTTCCAAACGGCCATGCTAAATATTAAATAAATTGTATCTCTATAGGTTATCCAGCTCAAAAATAATTTAAACTAAAAACAAATTACGCATTTTTCACATCATGCTTTGTACTGCATTTAAATATCATGGGAGTTTTGGTACTTATAACATTACAAGCTGTTCAGCAATTTCTAGTATATATAGGGTGTCCCGTGAGGATTTACCTATTAGCCGTAGAGGGGGACTCGTCGCCCGGACAAAAACCGGTTTTTTGCCGTTTTACTTATTAATTAAAAAAAATATTAAAAATCAGGAAATTAATGAAATTAAAATGTTGAAACGTCAATATTTTCAGAAAAATGAACTCTACAAAATGGCAATCTTCAATATTATTTTAAATAATTAATTAAAAAAATAATTTTTTAACTTTTTTACCAAAACATAAAAAATAAATAAAAAATTAGTTATTTGTAGTGCTTACCTCTGTGAGTCTTAATAAGAAAACAGAATTACGATATCTCTATTATTTCAGGAGTTATCGCAATGAGTAAATCCTCACGGGACACCCTGTATGTGTAAGATTAATTTTATGTGCCACCCAGGAAATCTACTGATACAAAATATTCAGACAATAATAATATATTAGAACCTGAAATAAAACTGATAGGAAAAAATAAATTAAAATTTACAAAATTTTATATAATTAGTGATTTTCTTACATGAATGGTTTGTACTCTATTTTTCATTATTAATCAGATTATAATATAATGCAAATTTTTTTTTTAGCAAACTTAAAAAATAATAAAATACTCAAGGTATATTGTATAGAAATATAAAAAATATTTTCATAAAAGTTAACAAAACTTGTCAGAAGATCGCATTTAAATACTAAAACCTTTTATGGCATTATGTATTAGTTAATTTTGGCGTTTAAAGTACTGCGTAGACGGATAAAAAAGGCATGTTTAGACATTTCTGAATCTGCAGGAATATAATTTTCATAAAAATTTTGGACAAATTCTTCAATTTTGAATCCAAACTTTTGATAAAGAATCATAGCTGGATTATTCACGGAAACATGTAAAGTTATATCTCTGGTCATGCAAGTCTAAAAAAAATTTAAATGTAAATATATTGTGTAATTTTTTTTTTGTTATATAGATTTTTAATATAATACCTGAATTAAATGGTATATCATAAATTTAGCAATACCACAATTAGTCCAATGAGGACGAGTGAACAAAAAAGTTATATAATTTTCATTTGTACTTATGTCTGGAACCATGAAACCAAAACCAATTATCAAGTTTTTGTATAATGCAATAACACTGAAATCTGGATACAATAGACTTTCAGTCACTGAATAACAAAATATTTTGAAATTTATTAAATACATATTATTTGTCATAAAATCAATCATATGATTACAAAATCATGATCATATCTTACAATCAATTCCAGGCCAGAAAAATTGTCTTGCCAATGCATTCACTGAATTTATATGTTTTGCACGAACATAACTGTAGTCAATTGATTGAATTTCTTTAGTTTTAGGCAATCCATTTTTCAGTCTAAAATGTTCTTTTAATTCATTCAACATTTTTAGCCATAGCGGCTTAGTCACCAAATCTCTGAATATGTATGGTTTTAAATACCTTACATAATTAAACAAATAAATAAAATTAATGGTACTTTTCTGTTATTTTACTACCACTAACAGCATAAAAAAAATCACTAAGGTTATTATATTAAAGACATTATAAATGATGTATTCATGATGTCACCACGTGTCGTTAGTATACTAGTCTATGGTAGTTATACCACATCAACATCTGTTGTCTCCATTTTATAAGAGCACAACACCACAAATGAATGTTTAGAATTTCACATTTGGTCATGTTAGAGTTAAATTTTATTATTAGAGTAAATTGACCTATTATCAAGCTTAATGATTTTTTAATACTTCAATTTTAAACTAAGTTATAAATAAGTGTGTAAAATGTTCCAATTAAATTATGATAATAGGTGAATCTAACATAGAAATAAAAGGATAATTTAATTAAATAGCAGATGCAAAATGTGATAAGTATTACCTATGGGTGTAAGGACTAATAATAGTTTTAGGTTTTGAACCGCAAAGAAGATCTCTCAATAGTAAGGGTCCTGGATTTTCGAACTGTTCAAAAAATTGTTCTTTGGACTTGTTCTACATCAACAATAATTAAAAATAATCATTAAAGAGACACAATGATTAAAAATGATTATTATATGGAATACCTGATATCGATTAAATATACTTATATATTGTTCGGATGGTAGTTGAAGCCGTTGAAGGTGCGTCACATTGGTTGGCTTGCCAGCTGATATATTCTGTACATTGTGAGTTAGTTTGGATTTAACCTTACAGTCACTTTTTACAACTTTTTCTGGCTGTAAAGGTTGAGAAACAGTATCATCAAATGATTTATTGAGCAAAACTATCTTCTCAGTTGTTGTTTCATCCGTGTGTTTAGGTGTTTCAGTTTCAATTTTATTTTCCTTATACTTATTGTGTTCTAGTTTTCTAAAAAAAATAATATGAATATAACAATGGTTAATGGTTCTCCATAAATATTTTTTTTAAATGTATCATTACTCGTTTAGATTGTGTTCTGTAGAAAAATCTAAAGTTGGGAACAATTTTATCATGTCATCGTCAATATCCATGGGTGAAAATACTTTTGGTGGTGTACATTCTCTTGAAACACACAATTTTTCTTTTTTATTATCAATTGGCTGTATAATGTTTTTATAATTCAATCTTATTTACAATAAAAACTTCATTAATGCAATTTAAACACATAGTTATTCAATAGGATTCAAACCAAAAGCAGACAAAAATCTTCAACTAAGATTTTAGAAAAAACAAGAATTAAATCCAATGTTTTTCTAAAAACTTGGTGCAATAATGCTGAAACACCTTTACAACCTGTTGATTTGCTACTTCTCTCTAACTTATCACTGCTCAGAAAAATAGTCATGTTATTCCTACTTTGAGTACCTTTTAATGCAGCATTAGTAAATTGTTAAAATAATCATTAAATATTAACTAATAACTATTATTATGATAATAAAAATTACCTTGGAGTAATATCACTTTGGTTGCAATTATTTAAAATATTAGATACATAATCATCGGAAGAGTTAATACTATCTTTTGATATGTTTGTTGAGTGTACATAATTTTTTTGATTTTCTAATAATGCATCTTTTAATAATCTAATTAAAAATAAATTGATAAAATATTACTATGAATATTACAAATGTTTTAATTAAAACTTACTCTGTTGTAACATCGATAGCATATAAGCTACAACTAGATAACTCGTTATTTACATTTATTTTCTCTAGGTTTGTTATTGTTTTTGAAACATTGGATGATATAGAATCTAATATTAATGATTTATTAATTGCATCAAAGTCTTCATCATCTTCTTTGGAGGTATTACTCTTCTGATCATACTTTAAAAAAAATTAAAATATATTATTTTTAATAATAGCATTTGAGTTTTAGACTTACATCACTTCTTTTTTTGATTGGTAAACAATAATCATGTTCTTTTTCAAACCACTTGTTGAATCCTATAATTGCGTTTTTGCGTTTAGCTCTCAAACGTTTCATTATTGAACCACGGTTTCTACTTGATTTCTTGTGCAAATGCAAGTAATCGGTGAACCTACTCGTATTAATGGTCAATTCCATATTAATGTTGGTGGACAATAACAATGAAAAAAAAAATGTAATCTATGCATAAGCCTAGCATGGAACGTTTCACACTAAATCATAATATTGAACAAACGTTAGTGAAAAGTATAATATAAAAACAATATAAAATTGGTTGAATGAAATCACTTGGCACTGGGCAGCAATAAAATAAAATAATAACACAAACTAAAAATCAATTAACTAGTATCAGATATTATGAAGACACTTAAAAGTTAAAAGTATGTTTTCTTATTAAGTGTTTTATGATGATTGATAGGTGTTCAACTTGTCGTTCAAACTTAATTCAAAAAAAATATAATTTTGATTTTTGAAAACTTAATGTAGAAATAAGAAGCACATGGAAATAATATGGAATACTTATTATCAGTTATCACAATAGTGATCAATAGTTATCACATTATCATAATAACTTCGATGACAATCACGGACTAAGATATATCTTAGTCCGTGATGACAATATAGAAGCGAAACTCGATCAGCTGATTGGGGTCTTGGTTACCTATGATCTGAAGTCTGAACCTACGAAAAACATGAAAACGGTTCCACGCACCAACATGATGTTAGACCCGTGGTTACCAATATTATGAAAACGGTACCAAGACTGGCGGGATACGCGACGAGTGGTCGGCTTGTTTACCATTCCCTATTTCATGCATACCACGCCCCCTGGAGACCGTGTTCAAGGTCGCAATAGCATGATTCGGCCAAGGCACGTAGTTTCGTACCCCTGCCTCCACCTCTTACGTGTCATAACATAGTTATAACACAGAATAGATGAAATCAGAATGGACACTCTCCAAAAATTTACATGGGCTCTTATGGCAGACACGGTATTTTAGCCTAAAGTGCCACCAGTGTTACCAAAAAGTACAGTAAAAAAAATATTGTATACAATTTTATTATTTCGACCGAATTGGCGGTTGCTTTGAAAATTCTGTAATTAACGATATAATATATTTTCAATGGATAATGTATATTTCATTAATAAGAGTAATAATTAATATTTATATTTAATATTTCATTAATATAAAAATATGAAAGTAACTGCAGGTTTATGTATGGCAGTTAATGCGATCTACAGATATGATTTTCGACCTTCCAATAAAAGTAATTCCCTTATCGCGGTAATTGTCTTCACGGAAATCCCGTGGTATTTTTTTTGTACTCCCTATACAAATTAAATTACTACTGACAAATATAGTATAATGTATATTTGTATAGTTACTCCAGTAGTCCAGTGACTGAGTGACAGTGTAGTATGTGATGTAATTGAGTGCGCATGTCGTTTATTTATTGAATTATTTACTTTTACATCTTTTTATGTTTAAACGAGAATTATTATAATGATATTTACAAAACTAGAGGGGTTAGGTATGTATAATATTTAAATTAGATACAATATTAAACAAAATGTACTTCTCTACTATCAAATATACAGTGAGTGGCGGAGATTGCGCCACTAAAACTATTTAATTATTTTACTAACCAACTTCAATTTGGTGAACATTTAAAAGTAAGCTGAATTGTAAACTAAATATATTTATGCAAGTCACATAAATCATTAAATCCGGATCCAATTCAAAACTTTTGCAGTCTTTAATACAGCATTTACCTATTCTAAAGCGTTTATTTAGGAAGTCCATAATCAATGGTTGTGGCGTAAAATTACAAGAATTTCAAAATATCTAATTAAGTATTAACCGAGGACTTGTAGAGGTCTCGTGACTCGTGTTCACTTTTTAAGAAATATGAAAAGTGAATTTTTAAATTTTTTACAAACCAGCCTTAAAAAAGCAGTTTGTTTACAAACAAATCCAAATAAAGCGGATGCTCAGAGTGGTCTTTTGCTACATAAATCAAAAAATAAAAATAGTTTTATTATATGGCTACACTGGTGGCACTTCAGTTCTTATCATGGTTTTTGGAGAGTGTCCATTCTGATTTCATCTATTCTGCTACTACTTTTGTTCCACAAAACAATTTTCTTAACCCCGTGACCCACTTGGGGAGGTGTTGCACAGCAAGTCGGGGGATATTTTCGATTTGCGGAGCGGAGCGACGGCGCCGAGGAGCGTAGCGACGAGTGCCGCTAGCACCGCATCACTGTACGATGTTTTTTTCAAATTGGTGGCTCGGTGCAACAAAAATGCAATTTACTCAACCCTGTGACCCACTTGGGGAGGTGTTGCAGTGATGCGGTGCTAGCGGCACTCGTCGCTACGCTCCTCGGCGCCGTCGCTCCGCTCCGCAAATCGAAAATATCCCCCGACTTGCTGTGCAACACCTCCCCAAGTGGGTCACAGGGTTAAGAAAATTGTGTTGTGGAAAATTGTTTTGTGGAACAAAAGTAGTACTCCCCAAGTATAACATGAAATAAATAATATGATAACAATGCCAGAGGCCGACGCGATGCGCGCGCACCGGATGCCAAAATGACATGCTGGCGTGAGACGCTCGTGTTCCAAACGGGGAACAAGGGTTTTGTGGAACAAAAGTCCATTGGAACAAGTGTTTTGCGGAACAATATGAAATGTCCCATAATATCTAATATCTATGGTTTGAAAGGGGAACGCCGCAACCATGGCTAAATATATAGGTATGATCTCATTGAGACGCATTTTCGTTAGGAGCTACGCATGTACTATTATTCCATGATATAGCATGGAAAAAAATCTCAGCTGGCAGTGATTTTTATCATCGGCGAAATTTTACCGCTCAAAAGCATGAATTAATATAAATATTTATATTATTTTGATAACTGTAAACTGATAAATCGAAGTGATAAAAATCACTGCCAGTGGCGGCCATGACACCTGCGTATCACAAAGTTGCGATCATACCTATATATTTAGCCATGGCCGCAACCATATTACTCCATGGTAATATCACTGCACTACAACTGCTGTATCAGATAACAAGAATGTATTGAGTGATGACGTGTTTAATTCGAATTCGTTGATTTTGTCATTTTGATTTTTGGTTGCGGAGTAACTAAACCAAGCTAACTTAAGTGTTTTTTGTTCAATAAATTATATTTGTACAGTATTTAAAGAGATCATTATAATATTTAATTGTTTTTTGTGGTATTACATATATACATAAGTAGAGGTATCTAATACATAAGTACTTTTTTAACTCTGTTATACAATTAGGGATATGTTGGACATATCTTTTAGTAAAGCATATTTATTATGCTGTGTAACATTAATATTCATTCAATGGACAGAAAGTAAGTGGCACTCAACGTGAATGTCTGCCATTATTATTTTCTAAACATTACTGACAAACAGGTAAAAATGCGGAGTATGTGACTTGTGGAACTGTTGCAAAATTGTACAATATCGACCTTAAAGTAAGGTTGCATTCGCATGATGTTAAATATGGTGCAGGCAGTGGTCAGCAATCTGTAACCGGAACCGATTTATCTGAAGATATAAATTCACATTGGGAAATAAAAGCACAAACTGGAAAACATTGTAAAAGAGGGTAAGACTATTTTATTAATCTTGTGTTTTTCTTATAAATGTATTATTGTATTTAAAATTTTAGGGAGCCTATTAAATGTGGAAGTATAATTAGATTTACACATCTAACTACCAAAAAGAACCTTCATTCACATATTTTTAGTTCTCCTCTGTCTGGCAACCAAGAAGTATCCGCATATGGTAATGACGGCGAAGGAGATACTGGTGACCATTGGTATGCAGATTGCAGTGGAGACTATTGGGAAAGAGATGATGATATTCGATTAAAACATGTAGACACGGGATCGTGAGTTTAAAGAGAATTATAAAATAATATAAATTTATAGTGTTGGACGAGTATAGTTTTTTAATGTTGAGTCTAGTGAAGTTCCAACTATTTTGATTCGAGTTGAGTTCAAAATACGTTGAGTACGACAAGTTCCAAGTATTCGAAAAAAGATTCGAGTTCTAGGAATTGCTCCAATTTTATAAATTATATTAAAAATAGATTTTCTAAAAATTAAAAATTTTCTTTCATACAAACCTTGCCCAATTACTAACGTGAACAAAATTTGGCATAATTCTAGTTTAGCACCCAAGCGAATTTTTCGATTTCTTATTAAAAAATTTTGTATTTCGACGAGTTTAAAACGATGGTGTAAAAAATAATTTGCGGAAATGATTATTTTGGAAGTTACAGCCTTCCAAAGTTTGCGATTGTACGTTTATACGCATGCGAGCAACACTACTATAAGCGCAGCGACGAGTGCCGCAAGACGTGTTATCACTATACATACTATACAACTATTGTTCTATGGTACAACATAACTTTATTTGTCTGAATACTGTGTGTTTATGGATTATAATATAAACTGAAAACTTAGATTAGGTAAATTAGCCATTAACATTGGTACCATCATTTGTAAAACGTTGATTTATCTAGGTCTCAAAAAAAATTGACTTGTTAGGTCATCCGTCTGCCCGAAAGAAAGGTATGCTCTCTCCCCCCAGATTTGCTATTTAATCCCCGGGGGGTTTAGGGGCCGAGCCCAGATCCAGCAAGAGGTCCGCAAGACCTTGAGTTTCTATAGACTTATGTTACTCTAACTTAAAATTAACTATGCATACGGACTCGTGACTTTTAATATAAATATATCGACGTCCTCCGCGGGGCATTATAGTGTTACACGCATGTGTATAAACGTAAAATCGCAAACTTTGTAAGGCTGTAACTTCCAAAATAATCATTTCGGCAAACTAATTTTTACACCATCGTTTTAAACTCGTAGAAATTCATAGGTTTCCGAAAAAAAAATTTGAGTGTTCGCTAAACTAGAATTGTTCCCAAAATTTAAATCATCAAGTATCACCTTTCTGGTATTCTTATCAGAAATATTTGTGTTCTTTCAGTTATTTAGTCTTGAAATTTTTTTTCAATAAAATACTATAAAAAGTCTTGAATCGAGTACTCAATGCAAAGTAAGTAATCGATTTAAGATGAGTACTCAATTCAAGGTGATTACTAGTATAAAAAAAAAAATTTGTCGGGTTGAGTTTGTTTACTTGATTCTAAAATTTTTCCAAAGTCAAGTACTCGACCAACACTATAAATGAATAACATTATATTTTTAATTCACATTAGAAAATAAAAGAGGTTACAACTTTTTATTCTGTTTCAAATGAATAATACAGTCAGTTATAAATGATTTTAACTTTACTTTTTTCAGATACTTGATGGCTTCAAGTTTATCATATGGTCGACCAATTAATGGACAAAGAGAGATTGCTGCCGTAAAAAACCCAGGACCATTTTCAACTCATTGGCGTGTCAAAGAAGGCATAGTTTTCATAAAGATGAACCAAGTGATTTTCCTTCTGATTACCTCCATACAGAACTATAATATTATTCCGTTTAAGTATTGGATTCTCAATTATTTTATAATTTTGTAAATTTATTAAGCATTACACACTGTTTATAGTAGAAAATATAATAAAATATTGTTTCCTTAAAATTTAAAATAACTTATAAAAACAAGGTTTATTATGGTTTAGATTATGTTTATTATTTTGATTTAAAAAGTATTATGTAAACAAATAATGATACATAAATACTAAAATAATTTTTATTTAAAAATACTTCCAACCTTAATTTGAATTGTACATACACTTGTGTACAAAAATTAAAGGTGGATACCAATAACTATTTTTTTCTATAAAAGTGTTGATTCTGTATTTTGTTTGTTTAATGTAAACTAAATATACTAAAATTAGATGTTTGAGTAGATGTAAATAACAATTTCAAGAATTCAATAAAAAAAAAAAACATAAACTTAACATTAGAAACAATTTTATAATAAATATATGAACCAAATTCTTATTTTAATACTCCACCTTCAATTAAAAAAAAATACATACATACAGAATATTATTAGTTTATCTGCTTAGTGGTTACTAGTAACTTAAAATATTGACAGTTAACCATAACGTGTAATATAAAAAACATAATACAATTTAATTTGCTTATTAAGTTAATTTTAAGACTTATAATTTGATATTTATTTTAATTAACATTTCCATGAAGTGGTAAATTTTGATTTTAAAATGTTTTAATGGCAGTAAAAACTTAAAAATTCAACATTTGGATTTATTTTGATGTGAAAAAAAATTAAATAACACATTTAAATAATTTATAATTTACCAATTTTAATTTAATTCTGTTTCTCCATCAGCAATCTGAAAAATATAATCAATTTTCTCTTATTAAATTAGAAATATTTTACATAAATCATTAAATATATCAAATTTTTAACTGCACTTTTTAAATTTATTTTTATGCCTTAAGAGGTCACACCTGCATGTGTTGTTTTTTTTATATATGTGTGGTTTCAACTCAATAGACTCAATTATTGCTATGAGGAAGATTGGACAATTTTACATAGAAATTGCCTTGACCTAGCCTACATTTAAGCATTTTTATTTATTTTTTAATTTGTTTTTTTAATTCATTTGTGTTCATAGTTATAGTTTATGTACTTTGTTTAGTAATTGGTTAAAATTAGATAATTTATTTTTAAAATTTATATATTGAACCTTTCCTAAAGATAAATGTCTGCTATGAATTATTTTAACAGGCAACTAGACAGTATATTATAGTTTGAAATCAAATAAAATAATTTTTAAAAAAGGTTTAACATTCTAATAATTATAAAAAAATATAATTAAACAATTAACTTAAGAGGACGTGACACCGACATCTATTGGCTCCATCTTACAAGTGCGTAACATAGCAAATTGTAAGCTCACTTTTAGACATTTAGATAGGTTAGTTTAAAATTATAGTGTATTGACCTCTTTTAAAATTTAAAGGTTAGATTTTTATCTAGGAAATCTCATGGGCTTTTTATTATATTTTAATTTTAAAGCAAGTTATAATTATTTTAAGATGTACAATCAATGTGCAATTTTAAAATACTCATAATTCGCCTTAAAATTAAAAACAATAAAAAGCCATGAGGTTGCCTAGATGTCGCCTTTAAATTTTATAAGAGGACAATTCACTATAATGTTTAAACTAACGGAGCTAAAGTGTTCTGCTGAGTGTAGAATTTGCTGTTACACACTTGTAAGACAGAGACAATATATGTCGGTGTAACATTCTATTAATACTAATTAGAAATTACTAAACATAGTATTTAAATTATATAAAATAAATACCCAGTAATAATTCATAATGAAAATTGTTTCTAATTAAACTCATTAACAATTTTTTCAATAAGTAAAAAAGATTAGTGTGAAGTGGGGCAACTGCGACCCATAGTTTTAAAATCTAACTGGTTATATTTCTGAGATCAATATTAATATTAGTTATTTCAGTTCTACTATAACAGTTCTTTATCGACTCATTAAAAAAAATAGTTTGCTATTCGAATATATTATTGAAATTTGTCTCACATTCATAATTTTCGATGTTTTAATTAAAAAAAAATAAAATAAAATTTGGCCGCACTTACCCCGTACACGGGAAAAGTACAAAATCATACATAAAATGTATATGAATTTTCAATTTGTTAAAATTGACCCATGTACATTTTCAACTACTTTTCAGAAGAAACAAAAAACAGTTTTCCTTTATTTCTATTTGCGTAATAAGTACATAGGTACCTTTAAATAAACTATGAAATATTTCATAATAATTTTGAGCAGACAAGATGATACTAAATCGGTACTTTTTAACTCAAAACGAAGTGTTTACATAAGAGGATAAATAATATACAACAAAACTATTTTTGTCTAAAATGTAACTTGGGTCTCTTTTTTACAAATTGCCATTTAATTATAACTTATAGATGGGGGCGATGGGGCAACTGCTGAACTGCCTCGAACTATTTTTTTTATACATTTTGTTACCGATAAATCATAAATTGATAACATCATCAAATGATATCATTACAGTGTAATCCACATTGAATGAATAATCTAGGATATTTTGAAAATTGTTTTTCTATCTTCAAATACGGGATTAGGCATTTACCCCGTTTATGCACAAGCCCCACTTCACCCTAATATGATTAAAATTTAAAATGGTAGATTGGCAGATGCACTACCAAATTACTGAAACATTAAATCAAATAATACAATTCCAACTAGATTATTAAATTACTTTCAAGTTACTTCATAGTATTATACAAAGACCATAAGCTAACCAAGACCGGGAATAATTAAAAAATTAGTTTGAATTTAATAAATGACATATTTCATGATAAATGGTAATGAACAAATTTAAAAAGATCTTTTTTATGTTTTGACAATTCACTGATAAAAAGTTAGGAATATCTAATTTGCATCTAGCTAAACATTGAAATTTGACACAAAATGTTCAATCAATTTTTAATTTTTCTACCAGCTTTTATTTTTTTTGCAATAGAATTTCTCCAAGTCCCAACTAATCTTCAGCTAATACCATTCATTCTCTGTTCATTCCTAAGCCAATATGTGTTAAGATAAGATATATGAACTCAGTTTATTCTATAAAAAAACAAACAATGGAAAAGATTAATTAATTTTTGCATATTTCCAGATTACCTTTGAAATAATATCAAATGAATTCTGTTTACATAAAAAGTACAAGACAGTCAAACAATAAAAACAAACTGAAAATTTAAAAATCCATTTCTTATAGTATAGTATTTGTCTTTAAAATATCTGACATTTTTACTAAAAATATATACTGCCGTGCTAAGCGTGAACAGGATATCTCCATTTTTTCTTGAGTGGTTTTACACCAATTTATGAAGTAAAAATAGCGTATTTCCTATTAAAACCCATCTAAAAATGAAATCTTTAATAAAAAATATGTGGTAAGTATATTACATTTGATGTTTTGTAAGCAAAAACACGGTAAATACTAAGCAAAAACTCGGTATATCACATGAAAAATAATGGAGTTACCGTGTTTTGGCTTATGTTTATACGTTTAAAAAAAAAGCATATAGTATCAATTTAGGCTAGAACAAGGTATGGCGAGAAAAGACTATAGGCGATAATCCAATAAGTCCATTGTTATTATGGAGTTACCAATTTTACGCGTAGTACGCCTATATTATTTTATGTTAAGTCCATTTTCTCCTTAAAAACTCAAAAAAAGTTGAAATAAAAAGTGTTCAACATTCTAGACGTAAAATTAGATATATCAGAACAAGTTTTGATCAATTTTTTGTATAAACGCTATATTTAGGCTTGATTTACTATTAAAAAAGTTATTTGCTGTTTCTCAACAATCATTTTGAGTAGAGATACCCTTTTTTCGGTTAGCACGGCAGTAATGGCTAGGAGTAACACTAAATAAGTAAAAAAATGTTTAAAATAAAAGGATAAACAGTTATAAATATAAATAAAATATATTAATAAAAGTTATTTCAATATTACCTATAAACTTTCATTGTTGAAAAAAAAAACACAGAGTAATAAAAATATCAAAATACTATTATTTCATGTGTAAACAAAAAAAACATAATAAATTATGGTGAATTAAGTTCTTAAGAAAATATAAAAACATGTATTGGGGTATTTTTTAAAATGTGCAATATGTTATTATTATGATTACATCCCTTAATTTATGTGATAATATATTAATTTACTTTGTATTATGATTCAATTAAAAGCGAAAATTAGACCTTGAATGTACCTTATTTAAATACTTGAATGCAAAAGTTGCACCACCCCAAGACCAATACAAACAAATATGGCAGAAATTTGAAATTAATGCTTGGTTTCTTCTTCATCAAAAAAGATACTATGCTCAGTTTCTTGTCAGAGTATGGTGGATATTTTGCTCTATAATATAAACATTTGTTAAAATTAATAACATTGAAGAAGTAAAGCAATAATATTATGTGCTACTAACGAAGAAAAGGATTCTCCTATGATGTTGAAATCTTGAACCAAACAGCTTTTACGGTGCGTGAATGTATCAAATGTATGTTTTCCATGGTAAGCTCCCATTCCACTAAGACCAACTCCTCCAAATGGTAGATTTTCAACTAAACAAATTTTTAACACATTAGTACTTATTATTTATCCAACAGATTAGTATAATATAAGAAAATATTAATTGTTTTATAGGCCATCATTGTTAAATAAAATAAATACTTTGATAAGAAAAAATTGTTACAAAACACAAAAGCCATTTGAAGTTAAACAGGATTATGATACTTGCTGTGTACAAGAAATATTATAATTATCTATTCTTATTAAAAAGCTTGTTAGTCTTTATGTAACTATGTGAGTATTGCACTATTAAGTTTAATAAGCGTATGTTACCCAAACATAGTGATATACCTAACCATTTTTAACTATGAACTATAAATATATTCTTTTATGGTGATTGAAAAGCTAAAATACAAAACCTGTGAACAAAATATAAATATCATAAATTTACTATTTAAAATCTATAATTCAGAGAAAGCAAATTATTAATATTGTTGTAATTAGTATTAAATATTGTGTAAGCATAAAATTGTTTTAAGTTGACTATTGTTAAAGGTCATAGGAGTAGATTTATTTTCTTGCCTAACTCACATCCAAACTAAATAGAGTGCACTTCCAAAACTGTAATTATTCATTCTCTTAGGGCATGTGACCCTACAATAAATATGATAAAAAATCTTAATTGTTTAATTTTTCAATAGATTCTTTAAAATCAATTATTAAAATAAAATACAAATATTTTGAGAAAATATATTTTTAAAATTTAAACAAATATGCAGTAAATCATAAGAAATTGTTTTTCTTCATAAAATTAAAAATAGATTATCTGATTTCATGTTTGAGTTTAAAATTATAAGCTTACAGTTTTGAAAATGTTAAGAAATGTAGCTGTAGGCCCAAAGCACATATTATGAAACAGGCAGAGAATATCAATCTATACTACCTTTGTTAAGAGGATGTCAGCGCACAATTTGTTTTATTTCTATGGCCCACACGCAACATTGACAAAACGCATTTTTTAAGTTTCATTTTTCTATGTTTTTAAGTAACCTTAAAGTAAAATCACCCCTTTCAAATAATATAGAGAGTATATTTTGAGGGAATGACATATCGATTTGTTTAAATATTGTCTCAAAACAATTTAAACATAATTTAAAATTACATCATTGTTTTGTTTATTTTTAAAGTCGAATACAAAGTCAAATAACAATAAAATATAAAATTGATATGTCATTTCCTCAAAAATATTATTTTCCATCTTTTTGTAATGGATGATTTTTACTCTAAGATTACATAAAAACATAGAAAAAATGATTCTGTGTCAATAAGTTTTGTCTATATTGCGCGTGAGCCTGATAGAGAAAATAAATAGTGCGCTGACATCCTGTTGATAAAAACAAATAGTTAAAATATAGTTTTTTAAACATGAAATTTTTAATAAATAATATATTTATGAATTTATCTAATTTACAATAAATTTAATAAAACACACATATTGAGCTGTATTAAGACACGAACACATACTACAGCACACGTAAATTAATTACTTACCAGTCACATGTACTACAGTATCATTGACACAAACTCCCCCAGCTTTCACGTTTTCCAACATGTTGTCAATGACTGCTTTATTTTTGGTAAATACGTATAAAGCCAATGGGCTGTGATTTCTGTACAAATTTAGTAATTACCGTCACCATAATTGTAATTTAGTTATGTCAGTCTCAAAAATGTTAGTCCAAAACCAAAATATTATTTTGAGACATGGTATTTTAAAACTATTGCGATTTTATTCTATTTATTGTAATTAAAGTAACATACGCCCCATAATAGGAATGAATTATTATTATATTGGACTATATTATACAATAGAAATTTAAAGTGGTTAATTGTATTAATATTGCAGAGATTGAATATGTTCATATATATATGACTAATTTGTGAATTCACCAATGTTTATATTATTATGATTATTTGGATACATAACAACCAGAATTAAAAACCATAATTCTATGTACACAAGCAATATTATAAAAAGAACAAATTAGGAATAGATGGAAAGAAGGAATTTTTGTTAAAAAATATGAGATTTTCTGAAATGGCTATTGTTGACTATTACCAGCATAATGACTAACGGTGTCATTTACACAAAATGATCCACTAGAAGTTTGTCTCATAAATAAATTCTGCATTTCTTGGTCGGAAGAGAATACATATAACGTTAATGGTTTACTCCTGAAGGATAAAACATAAATATTTATTAAAATTATATATTTAAATACAATTTAGTCATCTGCCATCAGTATTCTATGCAAATAAAATTCAAATACAATCCATTTTAATCATTCATAATTTCTAAAAAAAAATATAAAATTAATGTTTAAGTTTTAATTTTAATTCAACACTAATTATAGGATAAACCTATAAATTAAAAAATGTAATATGTTTATTTAATATTAATTAAATACATTTTTTAACTCTAAAACTTATTATCTATTCTTTGAGTTATAAATTCTTTTTTGAACTGAATTAAGAAACATCACTTTTAGCCTACATTTTAAATTTATAATACATTTTAGGGTTTAGTTTTAAATTTATAAAAAATATTTCATGAAACAGAAGTTAATTAAAAAAGAAATAGTTCATTAACTATAGAAATCATGTAAAAGATCATAATATTAACAACAGTTAATATTTGGTGTTAACTTGCATTTTATAATAACATTAATTTAAAACATAAAATGCACCCCATTAGAAACCTATTATTTATTTATTTTAAGAACAACAATAGTAAAATATTTTTTGATGATATGTCAGATTATTAAGATCTAAAAGTTGAATAAAATACAAAGTACTAAGTAGAAAGGATAAACCTGGATTTTCTATTCTTAAATACTATTACAATGTAAAATTGTTTGGTTTGGTTTTGACATTTAACATCAGACTCAAATCATAAATGTTTGTGGGTAATAAACTAATAAATTAAAGTACTTTAAATAAACCTTTAATTACTACCCAATTAAAATAATATTGTTTTTACCTGCTGTTAATATAACTTATAGCATCATAAGCATTATCCACAATTATAATTGGTAAAATTGGACCAAAAATTTCTTCTTTCATTATGGGATCTGTAGGTTTCACATCAGTCAATATTGTTGGTTCGATATAGAGATCTTTTTTATCATGTCTACCACCAACTGCAATTGATCCGCTATTAGTCATCAAGTCTAATAATCTCCTACACATAAAAATGAATTTAATATTTCAAAAATATTTTAATAAGTATAATTTAAATGTACTCACACAAAATGTTTTTCTGAAACTATTCTACAAAAATCTGGAGAATTTTTTGGATCATCAGTATACCAGGCTTTTAATAGTTGTTTAGCTTTCTCCACAAATGTATTTTGAACTTGACGTGTACACAAAACATAGTCTGGAGCAATACATGTTTGTCCAGCATTAATGCATTTTCCCCAAATTATACGCTTAACAGCAATATCCATATTAACAGTACCGTCTATATACAAAGGGCTGTAAAATGAAATGATATATTATGTCATAATTAATACATCTATCATAAAATAAATACATAGAACAATGAAATATTAAAATACCTTTTACCACCTAATTCCAATGTAACAGGTGTCAAGTATTCATTTGCAGCAGCTCTAACTATTTTGCCTACAGATGTTGATCCTGTATAGAAAATATAATCAAATCTTTGTTTAAGTAATAGAGTTGTTTCTTCTACACCTCCTAAAATAACTGGAAAAGCATCCTGTAAAATATTAAAATTGTTGTAAAAATTATTAGATAAGTAAAAAATTAATGTTCTTTACTCTGTTGAGATATTTTGGTATTAGCTCAGCAATGAGTTTTGCAGTAGCTGGAGCTATTTCAGAAGGCTTTATAACGACACTATTCCCAGCAGCTATTGCACCAACTACGGGTAACAAAGTTAGCTGTAATGGGTAATTCCAAGCTCCCATTACCAATACAACTCCGTATGGATCTTTATGTATTAATACATCATCCATTATATTAATCAATGGTTTATCAGGCTATACAAAAATATATTATAAATATTAACATTTCTTAAAAAAAATAGTTACTGTGTACGTTTTAGTACTGTACACACCCTTTCAGTTTTCATCCAGGATTCTAGTGAGCCTAGAGCGTTGATGATATCATTTTTTAAATATTCAATTTCAAACAACACTGCTTCTTGCTTGCTCTGTTCAAATATTAATTATGAGATAAGTTTTTTTTTAAACATAATATTAATTAACAGTAATTTAAATAACCTTTCTTAAATCAGAAGCTAGGGCTATTTGTAAGTCTGAAGAATTTTCATTTAAAAGCTTCAGAAGTTGCCTAAGGTGATGTTTTCTGAGATGTAATGATTTTGTTTGGTTATTGTTGAAAGCTGATTTAGCTTTCTCTACAATCTAGATAAAAATGAGATATTTCTGTTAATTTGACCATTGAATACAACAAAATAGGTACTTAAAATAAAATAAAATACAGAATACATACATCTGCATAGTTGGCCATAATTTCGTTAGTTGCTGTACCTGTAAAAATCCATAAAATTACAATAGTATTAGCATTTAAAATTATGAACACAACAAGGACACTGTGATTTAACAATAGTGATTTCCATTTTAAATAAGTACATAATACATGTTGCAGCTAACACTATCTATGTATTATCTACATTCTACATGTTTACATATCTGTAGGTAAATAATTTATAATAGGTATATTATATTTTACCGAACTATTCAGATTGGGAAAAAATTATTATTTTTCAGCCTAAGTTATTGCTTTTTAAAAACTATAATCCTACATTTATTTTTCGAAAAGAATATACAACTGAGATTATGGATCTAAAACATTTGTGTTCTATATTATAATGGATCGACAAAATAGAAAGTGATTTTCGTTTTTGTTTATTACGTTAATGTCGGCGGGCTATTGCCTGTTGCCCTGTTACTACACCGTTTTATGTTGTGTTGATGTTGTGTACTAGTGTTTGGTTTATCTAATACAGGTAACAAAGTGTTGGTAGCACGTTACCTAAATTAAACTCTCTATAATATATTATATTATATACACTGTAGTAGTTAGGTTATCTGTTTTCTATAGTCCCTACTCCCTATAGACCATTAGAAGATAAAGTCAGAGATTATCTTAATAATAGAAGATTACATCAGACTTTCGTGCTTTACAAGGAACAACCATCGATGCCATATTGCCATTACAGATAGGTTATAGGTAGGTAGGTACATCGGAATTCGAAATACAAAGATTTTTGATTGTACCATAGAAGAAATCGGGTTTAAAATTAAAAATATTATAAATTAATAATTATAATAATATTATACTTACAGTCTACAGTATCAGTTTAAACAATGATGATAGTACTATTATCAGATTCAGATATCGGCGATATCGCTGGATTGCACGAGTATAATAACTATATAATAACTATTAACATAGAACAATCTATTAACTAATATTATAAATGACTACTGATTACTGAGCAGTGAGCACACAATTACATGACAACAAAGTAGTTTAGACGTGTTTATATGTGCAAAGGTGATATAGAAATTCCTGACAGCCAATGTATAACAAATAACAATAATATCTATAAAAAAATACTAATAATATTTAATAGGTGTGTTGCTTAAAACGTGTAGACATCCTTAAGTACTAAAATAAATGTTAATTGATCGAGGACAACAAAATTGAATTATAATAAATTATAATATACGGCGTAGTGCCACGACGAAATGGTTTGGAAGTTTGGAACCGTCAATAAAGCTAATGTAAAACCATAGAACAATAGTAAAACAAAACTTTTATAATTTATTATATATGTCATATATTGCTCTATGGTCATATGTATGTGTGTGTGTGTATATCAGCTGCCCTGTCCCCTCGAGCAATCAGTGTCGTGTAGGATACAACTGCGAACAATATAATTTCAATACCGGTAGCTTTTATTATTATAAATTTAAGGACGTCAAACCCGCATGTGTTGTGTTCCTCTTACACACGGATGACATACCAAATTTTCGTTTCTCGAGTTTCAATAGTGTGCTGTACTGCAGCTGTTAGTTATGAATGTTATGATATTAGAGTCAATTGACCTACTATCAAATTTTTAAGTAACAACGTTATCAGTGTTCCCTCGTTGGTTTTTTACGGTATTTTAATTTTTAAGTGAATTATGAGCATTTTCAAATATTAACGTTTTACCTATCTATTCATAACTTACTTAAAAATTAAAATATCGTAAAAACCCAACTAGAGAACACAGATAGATATTGTTGTTACTTAAAAGTTTAATAATAGGTCAATTCACTCTAATATCAAAACTGACCATACACGGACTATTGCAACTAGCGAACCAAAATTTGGTATGCCATACCCATACGTGTATAAGACGGAGACAACCGTTCAACACTAACAAAATATTTTCAGAATCCAACTATCTCACTAGTCACTATTATTATTATCAGTAGGTAGTATGACCTCACCGGAATTTGATAACAAAAATGTGTTTTTTGTCTTAGGTAACAACATTTTTATTAATCATTTTTAAAAATTAATTTTAAAATATAAAACTTTATGTTCCTTCAATTTTTTTTATTCTAAGTTGAATTTAAAAAAGCAAGCTATACTACAATTGTTTTATAAATAAGCTTATTATAATACTTTTGCCATAAAAACTTTGAAAAAAACTTGAATTATATCAGGCAAAATGACATAGCAGTGATTATTATTATATTATTTTCATATTTATATTATTATATTAATTATGTTAAAATATATTTCTAAAGTGTTGTTATTTAAAAAAAAAATTGATTAAACTATTAAATTCTTAAAGTTTTATAATTTATTTCTATTGCCCAGTATACAATGGATGCTTATACAAATTATATGGTGTATGTCATTTTATCCGACACTCCGGGTAAAATGACATAGTAGTGCTTTTTTTAAAAGCATTTAAAGTTCGAATTTTGACAAAATTTAAAAAAATTTATAAAATGTTCAACTTTTATAGCTAAAGATTGAAAACATACAACAAGGTTCCACGTAAATATTTAATATATAAATGAATTTATTCACAATAATATCATCAAATATACTTAGTATAGTTAGTAATTTCATATAGACTGACTGACCATCTTCGCTCAAAATCGTTTTTCTTATACAATATAAGTATATTTGATGGTATTATTGTCTTGCCAGTCAAGTAATTTATTTACCTATTTATGAGGAACCTTGTTTTAAATGTTCAATCCTTATTCTTTAGCTATACAAGTTGAACATTTTATAATTTTAACTACAAAATAATTTTTAATTATAAACTTTAAAAATGAAAAAAAAATTTTAGCCTAGGTATGTATTTTTAATATATTTCAACTGCTATTGTAATAATATATCAGGAGCCTTGCATTAAATTTTCAAGCTTTTTGACCCAACAAACAAAATTTTATTGACAATTATAGAAAAAAAAAACTAAAAAATCGGAAATATTTCTAAACAGACTAAACAGCTCAAAAAGGATCAAGAAGGAAAAAAAAGTTGGTAAGTGGATGTAGCTCTGCTGTACAGTTACAAGTGGGTCACCGTATAATGGATGGTATTAAATTTGAATTCAATGGTAGAGTAACCTGGGGTATAATGACGCATGGGGCAAAATGAACTATTGTGTATAAGTAATTTAATAATTGCTATCTGGTCAAACATTTTGTATTATGATTATGTATCATAGCCAGAACGTGATTAAAACATTTTGTCAGCAATTGAGTGATGGTTTTGGCGGCAATATGAGGTACAATATTAATTGTATTCGTCTGATGTAATATTTGAGTAGTATAGAAGTAGTAATGTGTACTATATAACGACACATTAGATGTTGCTTTTATATATATTCGTTTAGTACAAGTAGGTGACTAAATGTCAATACTAGTAAAATATTAATATGATAACAACTGAATATACTACAATACTGTTTATGCAGAAAATCATATTGGGGTAAAATGGCTTAGTGGGTTTTGGGGTAAGAGTGCGCAGTATTTCTTATATGATAATTGATTACCTACTTTTATAAACATTTAATTTTTCTAGCTAGAAATTGAATTAATTATATCTATTTATTTATTAATTTATTTAAACTAATAGGTACATTATATCTACGATGTATCAACAAATGATTAAATAATATTATGTAATATTTATTGAATAATTATACTTAAAAAAAATACTTCGACTTAGTATTTATTACTAATACTGTATTAACTATATATTATATTAGGAACTTTTATATTATGCATGCATATTATATATATTTATAACTTATTATTTGATAAAAATAAAATAGATAACATTCTTTAATAAAATAGATTTTTATGAATTAATTTAGCATGCGGCCTATTACCCCATTAGGTGGGCACTTTTACCCCAATAACGGGGTAAAAAGACGCATTTGTTATAATTTCTAATTATTCAGAATTTTTGGTATTTGCTTCGGTAAAATTAAATTTTGACCTGAAAATTGAAATCTACGTAATATTTATGATAGGAAAACAATATAACAATATTTCTAAAACTTGTAGGCTACCACATACCAGCTGTTAAATGTGAAGTGCGCCATTATACCCCAGGTTACTCTATAATATATTAATGTCATTGTATTTGAAAAACGATTCAGAGTGGTGACGGTTTGTCAGTGTGGGTGTGGCGATATTTTATATTATACGAGATTTATACTGTTATTAATACGGTAGCCAGCAAGTTGAATTAATATTATAAAATTACGACAAAATAACTAAAACCGTAACTCGTACTAACGTCATACCTTTTTGGCCGAACGATTGAGAACACTTAAAATTAACAAACGCTGATTAATTACCGCTGACCAAAAAAATACCCAAAAAAGAATACGATTGAGAACGAATTTACTTGCAACGTTGCCATATAATTTATTTGGCTATTGAAAGATTCATGCCCGTATATGCATAAAATAAATATTCTTGAAAAAGTCATCAATTAATAATTATAACTTTATACAAATATATGGGCATCTAATAATATGTACCTAATACAAATATATGAATAAAAAATTTAAAATAATAATATGTATAACTTATGAAAATATGTAATACACACTACACAAAACGATTTTATAATCATGCTCACCTCCTTTATCCCTTTAAAAATGCTTTTATTCAAATTCTGATTTTATAAGTATACCTGAAGACCATATTTTCAAATTCCTGATGATTTTGTACTACTCAAGGAATGTCCTGTGGCGATACAAATTTCAATTTTTCAAATGAAAATCTCCCTTTTTCACTGTACATTTTTTTCCGGGTAATTCTCTAGAAAATTTTTAAGTATCTAAATCAAAATTCTAATAAGTAGTTTCTGAGTTATTAAAATATTCATACTAAGATATTCATACTATAATCCTTAACTATGGTTTTACAAAAATATAAAGTATATGTAATATCAGTGGCGTATATAGGGGGTGGGCACAGTGGGCTGCCCCTCCCCA